TGGCCAGAAAGCAAGCATACCAGTCTCACCCCACAATCTGCTTCTGGTGCGCAGTGTCAAAGTCATGTCATCCAATGGTCAACAAGAAGGAAGGAAGACCCCCGATTTGTAACAAAAGTGAGAAAAATTTAGGAGATTTATCAGATTAAGTAACTTCAGCATCTATGGTAGAAGGGAAAATGCTTCTTAACTGCAAACCATTCTATAACACTTCTGCATTCAGAAATGTAATTAAATAGAAGACTGATGCAAACAGAAGGAAGTTATAGTAAAAAAAAATTCAAAATATAAATACAGCAATATTAAAGCAAGGGAGTCGAAACACAGAGGAGTGAGATTAATTTGAAAAACATAATTTGGTTTACTCAGAAGAAATGGAATAAAATTCTCAGGAGTTTCACACATAGATTTTCATTATTTACAAAATACAGTGAGGTTTCCTTGAATAAAATGCTGCAGTGAATGATCTCCAAAAAGTTAAATAAACTGCAGATATTGTGCTTGTACCAAAGATAATGGGGGGAAATGCAGTACATAGTCACTTAAATATATTTTACTGATTATCCAAACCCAAATAACAAGATCATTAAAATCTAGACTGTGGTCCAGTAATTTTTAGAAGCATGTTCACCAAAAAGACCTTCCCCATTTATGGACAGCCATGGTATATTGGAATGAATGAAGCTCTTCACATGTGCAATGGAACAGTTGTATATCGCTAGACCGGGACTCCGTTTTAATTTTTTTAAAATGTATGTAATCATATTCTCACTGTTAATATAAATGTTTGGTAAAGGTAAAAGACCCCTGGACAGTTAAGTCCAGTCAAAGGCAACTATGGGGTTGCAGCGCTCATCTCGCTTTCAGGCCGAGGGAGCAGCACTTGTCCACAGACAGCTTTCTGGGTCATGTGGCCAGCAGGACTACACCGCTTCTGGTGCAACGGAACATGATGACAGAAGCCAGAATGCACGGAAACACCTTTTACCTTCCTGTCACAAGGGTACCTGTTTATCTACTTGCACTAGGTTGGCAGGAGCAGGGACCGAGCAACAGGAACTCACCTTGGCGTGCGGATTCAAACCGCCGACCTACTGTTCAGCAAGCCCAAGAGGCTCAGTGGTTTAGACCACAGCACCACCCGCATCCACAAAATGTAGCTCTTATTTGGATGAACCAAGGTCTATAAAAAGCATTTTATCATCAATGTATAACAGGTAATGAATCAAATTTATGACCTGGTAAATTTAGACCACAGCCAAAAAAGTGATAGGTGTTTGCTTAGGGCTCCATATCTAGAAGCTGGCCACATGACCCCAAAAGCTGGCTGTGGACAAACGCCGGCTCCCTCGGCCTGAAAGCAGAGATGAGCGCTGCAACCCCAGAGTCACCTTTGACTGGACTTAACTGTCCAGGGTCCTTTACCCTTTTTACCTATTTTTTTTGGGGGGGGATCTGGACAAACAAAGTTGTTGAGCTTTTTTCGGTGATCACCCACTTGCCCCCCCAACTGGCTGCTGCTGCCAGCCACCAAGATCCGTCCGCACCAGAGCCTGAGCTGCCCACGTACACACACTTCTTAACCCCCCCCCAAAAAAAACCTGGACATTTGCTTACAATTGTAAAATTCCCCTGGAATGGCATGTAGGCCCCTCAAAAGAGGATATGTCTGGGATTTCCCAGACATATGGCAACCCTACGTCTGCTATTTCTGTCACACCTGTTTCCACTGCAGAAAAAACAGGCTGATCTTGCATTTAAGTAGCAGCTTGTTTCTTGGGTGTTGTGAGCTATTGTGTCAAGGGAAGGTTCTGGCTTCCCATGGAAATCTCCCTCACATGAACCTAGCAGCCATTTTTCGTAGTTAACAAATCATTCCCTTGTAAATATAAAATGTTGGTATCTGTAGGAGTAAATATCACATGATGACTTTGCTTTGTGTCTTCTAGTTTGTTCACTTCCAATAACAGCTGTTATCGTGCAGAGCGGGGGAGAGAAGTAATTCAAAATATAATCAAACAGCTTTTCATTTCATATTTTTTCAGGGGCATCAAAACAGGAGTTTTGACCAACGCAAAAGTTCACATTGCACAGTGAACACACCAAGGTGGTGAATCTTTTGATGTTCCTCAAATGTTTGCTAATATAACTGGCATCTCTCCTCCAGCATCATATACAACATTTTGGAAGGAGAGCCCAGCATATGGAGGAGTGCTCAGGATACAGTGAACAGCTCAGAGCTGGATGAAGAACATGATGTGGCCCTAAGCTATTCCAAGTTTAAGAAGCCCCATAGTATTGCCAAAAATGTATATTATTCTTACTGAAATGACAATAAAAGAGAAATAGAAATAATTGCATACCAGTCAAGGGTGCACCTAAAAACTAGTGTGCTCAGTTGGAAAAACATGAGACTTTTAATCTCAGGGTTGTGGGTTCGAGCCGCATGTTGGTAAAAAGATTCCTGCATTTGCAGGGGTTTGGACTAGATGACCCTTGCGTTCCCTTCCAACTCTACAATTATAATGTAAAACTTGAAACTTCATCTTTTTTGAATTAGGAGGCAACTCATAATCTGAAACCCTAAATTGTAGTTTACGTAAATTGTGTGTAAATCTGACACTGATTGCTTGCCATGACACTTATAATCATTTATTTCCCCCTTTCCCACATTCCTACAGCATGTAATACTAAAATGTAAGAACTGGTGTTTTCGGCAGGGAGAGGGGGTCCATTGTTTCATAATTCAAGGAATTTAATAAATGCATTTGGTGCACAAATCTGAATTGGTTAACATGGACAGTTAGCATAGATTAAGGCTGCAAATCTATACATTCCTGGAAGTTAATGAGACTTCTTTCCTAAAAGGCATAAATATGTAATTGTGCTATAAGCCTACATTCGTAGTCACATATACAAGGATAGTCATTTTGCTATCATTGATAATTTCTAACACACGGCACCTAGGAAACACTTACCAAGGAGTAAACAAAACACATTAAAATCGCTGGCATTTACTTTGAGTAGATTGGCCTACTTGCTCTGTCAATGAAAATAATTATGGTTATGACTTTGAGTTAACCAGAAGGATTTTTCCTTAAGGACACTTTTTCCTTTTAGTCACAATGAGAATTAGTTTTATGGTTTGCTAAGTTGTTACAGCATTTTTTCCTTGTCGTTACTAGTTATCATGTATTTTCATTTCCTAAAAGAAACAAATCTTTTAGAACTCTACAGTTCTATGATTCTACAATTCTAAATCAATATCATGTAGCGCTATAAAATTATTTTGCAGTTCTGAGTACTATGAGAGAATAACAACTTTTTAAATCAACCACCCCTTGGGAAGATTGAGGATCACGTTGAGGAGTTTCATTTGTGTAAAAGCCATTTTATTCTAGTCTGAGGGGAGAGGGAGATTTAACATGTTCCTAAATTGTATTTATCTGCTTTTGGGTACCAAAATCAAAAGCTAAATTATGTGCACTTAAACCCAAACTGCTTGGGGCTTGCCTAACGTTCTCCACACCAGTTTGTGATTTTTCTAAAATCTCCATATAAATTCATCATGTATGTAATTTTCACTAATATATGCACACTTCACCATAGTATACACATTTTTTAGTCATTACTTGGGTGGCAAACTGCCTTGAAAAAAATGAGAGGTGTGTGAATCTTGAAGGATGGCTGTGTTTTGGTTCGTGTGTTGTTTTGGAAAATGTGAATGACATATTCTTGCCTTTAAATGCAAACGGAATCATTTTTTTTCTTGCATCTTGATGCACACATATGCATGTCACTGTATGCCCAATGAAAAGTGTTCTTCAGCATTAAGTCCTGCACCTAAGAAGAAAGACGACGCCACAGGACACAAAACTGCAAATGGTGAGCAGACATTAGTACACAGCTTGATTAAGTGAAAGAGATTTGTGTCTGTTTTATCATTTTAAAGAGAGAACTACAAGTTTCTCATTTGAAAGCAAACCCAGAATAGAACGGCTTTGAAACAATACCAAAGCAGCATTCTGAATCTGCAAAACTTTTATGAACCTCACTGCATCGCATGGGATTCTGCCAGCGCTGGAAGAGTCAAGTGACCAATCTCATTCTTATACATACAGATTTTGCCGTCTGTGGAAACACTCTGGATTTTTATGGGATTGAATACCAGCCCACTTATATTTGTATATATAATCCCCCCCCCACAATCCATTTCCCTTATTTTGATGCCACTGTGCCCAAGAAATTCCAGCACAAATAACAGGCTGAATAGCAACGCTCAGAAAGAAGCATACAAATTTCACCTATATAGCATAAATAACCTGAAACTCTTTTAATAATATTCCAGTTTCTGGCAGTCAGAGCCAGATTTTTATCCATTTATATGAAATCAGTACATGATGCAATCAAGCTCAAGAAGAAAGGTTCCATGGAGATCAATGTGATTGAGACAGAAGTGCTATCTGGCAGAAAAATAAAAATAAATAGAGTACTATATAATACGAATTCCACTTAATGAATGTATAAGACAGCTGAAGCAAATTATAGATTATTGGTAAAATAACACCCATCTGTATTACACACTACCTACTCAATAATCAAATATATCAAAGCATTCAATTAATATGCCCTGGCTGAAAAAGAAAAAGGTTTCTGTTCTGCATTCCTTTCCATGCTTAAAGTTGCTGACTTATTAGACTTCAACACAGCATTCCAATTTAGTACAGCAATGGCCTAACTGTCTCAAGAACAGTCCTAAATCAAAAGTGACCCCAAATAAAATAAATACCCCAAATAAAATTAATAGTGTTTGCTGAGGTACTATTTCAGCTTCCCACTTTTAATAAAACAAGAAGAGCATTATTCCCATGATTAGAGAATGTATCTTAATGTGAAATGGCCACTCACAATCCAAGCCTAGCTAGCAATTTCATTTCAGCCACATTTTGCTGAATATTCACAAAAGTCTTATCCAACCTCCAGCTTCGTGCTTCTGTTACCTGCTTTAAATTGCTGGATCTCGAGGCTCTAAATATTAAATAGAACATCTCCAGGTACAAGCGCACATGAAGACTTTGTCCTGGCTGTCGTCATCACTGTTTTCTGGATCTTCGGTTGGGAAAACCATTGGGAAGTCAGCGCTTTCACTCCCCTCATCTTGCTGCCTTGAAGGAGGGCAGCTTCCCATTGCGTCACCCTGGATGCCTTTAGCCTGACAGGATTCGTGATCTTGACTGCAAATCTGATTAAATCCAGCATTAGGAGATGATGTGGATGTGACAAACATCCTAAATGGGAGTTCAGAAACAGGCAGAACAATTTTCTGGGAAATTTCTATTTACCAGCATCTGAAAATGACTCACCAGTTCCCTTTTGTTTGAGGAAGGCAAACTTTTAAAGCCCCCCCCCCTTCCTGGTGATTATAAGCCTTAGCACCAGAGATGGTTGCTTGGCAACACATTTAGCCCTATCCTAACTAAATCTCTCCTGAAAAGCCACAGATTCACTTTGCACAGCAGAAACAGCCAACAATATACTGTGCCACACAGTCTTAAATTTATTCAGGTATTATTAAAGTACTTGAATGATCAATAACTTGGTTTCCTAAACAAAGCCCAAATATCTTCTACGGTTTGTATGGTTAATTCAGTTACATCTCTCTCTTCACCCCCTTTTTAAATCAACCATCCATTTTCTTTAGCGGGGGGCTGGCAGGAACAAAATCACAATCTGTTTTAGAATACAGGTCATCTGAACAGATGATAGGCTGCGTTAGTCAGCCATTTTCTTTCAAAGCAAGGATCTGCCATGCTGCCATATAAACAGAATGTGCTTCGCTTCAAGAAATTTATGTGGGTTTATCTTAATGTCATGTGAGGCATAATTTAAGTTTCACATTTGAAAGTGGGCTATATTGATTCAAGGTGGTATGAGTCAGTGAACAAAAACCCCCGCTACAATTAATATAATTATAATTAAGTTATAAACATTGATCAGAAAACAGAAATGTCTGAAAGCTCTATGTCCTTGTCAGTTTTTTAAACTTGTACCTTCAATATACCAGTTTAACTGTTGTAGGGTTGTATTCAATATGACACTAATGGCATCCCACTTGCTCCAAAGAACTTCCCTTTCCTCTCTCCGCAATTCCCCACTCACCCCCCACCCCATAAATCTGCTCCAGAGGGTTCCCCAACCCTCTGGGGCAGGTTTTGCACAGGGAATAGCAGAGAGGAGGCGCCAGGTTTCCCCTGAAGAATTGTGGGAAAGCGTGTTCTCCTTCATGGAGAGCATGCGTTGCGGTGGGGTCTAACAGAACACCCCCTCTTGGTTACTGGGCAGGACCGTTTGGATGGCCATGACTGTGATTGGGCCAGTTTGGGTTGTTGGGGAGATTTTGATGTTACCATTTAGAGGGTTGGCCCAAAAGTTATATATTCTTGGCACACAGCTTTTTTCAGTCTCTTTTGTTGCATGCATCGGATCGCCCACCTACCCTCCCTAATTTAGGGCTGTTGCGTTTGACCTTGTTATGCCTGTCATGGGGTCGCCTGCTTTGGGGGCAGGGGCCTAGTAGGAATTCTGTCCATTTGGCAGATTGGCTGGTGCCATTTGGTTTTTGCCTACTGCGTAGCAAATTGTCACAACTTGTAAGGTTGCAGTTAGGCATTGTAAGGTTAATTGTTGGTTGGTAGAGGGGATGTGGTTGGCAGTGCCTGCCCCTCCAATGGTACTGCTGCAAGGGAATTCCGTTAAAGGAATCCAGGGGCTTGCCATGATTTTGTCTGAATCCCTGGAATGGGGCTAGGGCCGGCAAGCCCTGGGGAGCGTGCAGGGCGATGAGGGCCTGGGGCTCAGCTCCATTTTCTCCCCAATATTGTTTTCCCTTACTGGCTTTCGCTGGAATCCGGAAGTCAGTTCTGTCCCTGGACAGGGACAGATAGCCGGAACCAATGCCTAAGCAACCACTCACAAAAACAAAAATTCTGTGTGAATTGTGATTTATTTTGGGCTTGGGGACCTTGACATGCAATTGCTTGGTAATGCCACTAAGAATTCTGTTAGAGATCCATCAGATTACAGTTCTTTGGGTTCCAGAGAAATACAAAACTGGAAGAAAGACATGGAGCCTGCAACATTCTCTCCAGCCTGAGAACTGCAGAATGAGCAGTACCGTAGCTATTTTACCATAAGTCGACCACCCAATTAGATATGTTATACTTTCCCCCTTTAGTTTAAATAAGTGTGGTTTCAAACCAGGAATGGCGAAGCTTTTTCAGCCCAAGGACTGCACTCCCTTCTGGTCAGCTTTCCAAGGGCCACATGCCAGGGATGGGGGGGCCAGAACCAAAAATGGGCAAAGCAAGAAATGTAAAAAAATTGATTGGACAGTAGATGGGTTTCTATATACAGTTCTCCATCCAGACAAGCGAAAGGTAGCATCAGAGTCCAAGGACACATTCCAGCCAGGCAAAACTAATGCAGTGAAGAGCAGAATGAGGGAGGGATGTGGCTTGGAGAGAGGAGTCCTGAGGGCAAGAGACTGGAGGGCCTGGGGTTCCCCACCCCTGTCTCAAAGTGGGGGTGAATGAGAGAGCACAGGCCCAGCATGAGCACACAGCATGGTCAGAGCTCACACCAGTATCCTTGTTTTATTTTATTTTATTTATTTCAAAAATACATATATTCGGACCTGATACTGAGAAAAAATACCTGTCAGACCAGCAGCCACAGATGCTACCATCTTTCCTGTGCTTGTGGGTTCAGCCACAACATCACGTCCCTCTGAAAAGCTGCATCTGGGTTGACAGGTTTTCTGGGGAAATGAAAATGGTGGTGACCACAAGGAATAGTCATCAGCTGCTGACCCTCCTGTTGGCAGAGAGTGCACAAGTTGAAGTAAACACAGAAGAAAAAGCCTCTAAGCTTTTGGTGATTGGTTTGGAAAAAGAATGGGGGGAAATGGAAAGAGAAGGACCTCTCCTCTTTTAAGTGGGACTGGAAAATATGGGATTGGGTATGACTTAACAAGTAAATAATTGCGAACGAATATGCTGTTAGGATTTGTTGGAACCCTTGGAAAGAAACTTATCATATTGGATATTTCTCTCTGTTTTAGTTTTATTTATTTAGATTATTTGGGTTTTATTATATTCTATGTTGAAAACTTTCAATTGAAAATTGATTATAAAAGGGGGGCCGCTAGGGGCGCATTGGAAGATGGCCAACAATAACACCTCTCTGACCCACACGAGGTAATTAAGAGGCTGTAATGGGAGTATGCAGCCTCTCTGCCCCCCCCCAAGGGAATGGGAGGGACTGCCTTTGCCTTCTGTGCCCATAAATCATCCCCGGATTCGAGGGGGTGTGGGCACTAGGCTGAACGCCCTTGTGTGGACTTCGGCTCTCCTGGACGCTGTCTCTGATCGTGCCACTAGCTGCAGCAACTTGAAAATAAACAATTAGGAAGAAGCAAATGCACATATTTCAAGTGAAGAATGGGAAGTAAAGACTGCTAATTGAAGGGACCTCTGAAAAAGACGGGTCGGATAAACAGGAATATATCATGAGAAGACACATCAAGGCTCGGTATGTCGGCAGCAGGACTGGATGGGGGAGGGAGAAAAACTTTTTTCTTTCTTCTATGTGATTAACCAATAATCCCCCCCCCCAAGTCAGAAATGCCGATTAAATGACCTAAGCTGGATGATTTAAGACTGTGTGAAAACAAACTCTAACCAAAAGCATGTTTTAAGGAGAGCTTTGGGATGACGCAGCAAAAAACAGCGTCGCCATTTTGGCAAGTTCTGTCAAAAGATTTATGTCTGGGAGGAGGAACGGGTCTGTTTTTATACTGCGGGCGAACCTCCTCAGAGGACTAAAGAAGGCGACAGATTTGCGAAGATTAATGATGGAAAGAGTGCTTTTATCTATGGAAGTGATGATATATGGAAACCATCTCGATATGGCTATTGGACGAACGGAAAAATTCACACAGGATTACAACTTGTTTTATACCTGCTTAAGGAGATTATCAGAAGAGGTCGCAAAGAGAAGGCAAAATATACGAAAATAACAAGATGAGATGTGGGAAACAGCAAGATAGGATTGGATAGAATTATGAACATTATTTGGACAGATTTGTGGACATTAATGCAGCAGCAAGAAGATGATTGGACACCCCTTCAGAACTTGAAATATGGGTACCCCCCCCCACAAAAATTTAAAAATTCGGCTTTGTAATTTGTAATTTATGTGATGTGATTTGATTTGATTTGATTGATTGGTCAGTTAATAAAAATTATTTTTTAAAAAAGAAAGAAAGAAAATTGATTATAAAAAAGAACAGAAAATGGAGATGGCTGCCAATGTCTGGCCCAGCACTTCTTAGCACAGGTAGGGGGAACAAGGGGTTACATTGCTATCCATCCCTGCAGCCGCCTGCTACCATCCTCACCCCCTGGTATTGTGACTTTGGAGGGCCCACCAGGTGATGCAGAGATGCAGAGGTGACCTTGCCTGGGTACCCCTCAAACCGAGTTCCAGCCCAAAGTCTCCCTTAGGGAGACTTATGATGTCTTTGCGGTCTCTGGCTATTTACAAATCCAGCATTATGGAAACAAGTGGACTCCTGAAAATAGGCAAAACAGCTGCTAATCCTTCATCAGTTTCCTGGTTGCTATATGCCAAAGATGTTGGTTACAAAAGAAGTCAAGGCAGTGATGATACATAGGGCTAGAGATTTTGGGTATTATATCCAACTTTCATCTTGGGAAAAGTTTTGGAAAGAAGAAATAAAATTTACTGCATGCTGTTCGTTGAAAGAAAACTATATGAAAATGATGCATTGTTGGTATCTAACACAGAGTAAAGTTGCTAAAATGTACAAAACGAGTTCAAAATTGTGTTGGAAATGTAAAGAGAAGGAGGGTACTTTTTACCATATGTGATGGACATGTAAAGGCTTTCTGGGAAATGACATATAAGGAACTAAAGAAAATGTTTAAAAATACATTTGTTAAAAAACCAGAAGCCTTACTAGGTATAATATGTGAAGAGTTACCAAGAGAAGATAAAAGACTTTTTATGTCTGCAACAATGGCAGTGAGAATGCTACTAGCCCAGAGATGGAAGGAAGGAGAAATGCCAACAAAAGAAGAATGGCAGATGAAACTGACGGGGAAGATCCAAAACCAGGAAGATCAAGTATTTTCTAAAGATTGGAGTCAATTTGTAATTTATTTAAAAGACCACTGTAAACAATTAAAATCTTTGGCAGGGATGCAATGACACTTGTAATGTGGAATTATTTATGGTAATTATGGTTATATAATACATGGATAATGGTAAAAGATGCAGCAAATTTAAA